CAGCAAAATTTTGAACACTTGTTTCTTGTAAAAAAAATACCTGATGATTGTATTTAGAAGTTGATAGGAATAGCTAATATATTATCATGCTTCTACATCAATATAATGCCTAACTTAAAAATTGAATTTCTTCGTTCAGGCATACCATGCGTAGCTCATCTGTTAAATTTGCAAGTTTCTCTGCGGAAGTGATCATTTGTCTCCAAAATGGTCAATATCTTTGCTTAGCAGTACACGACCTTCCATCGTAAGATAAACGATATTTACGATGGCGGTGTTGATCGAACCATTCATACAAAGCAACACAGAATTTTTTTGATACTGATCATAAATGTTGATGGCATCCAGATTGCCAAGAGTTTATAGGAGTATGGGTTTGAGTCAAATTAAGAATAACACTGCCACTGCCACAACCATCCATACCCACACCCTTTACATATTCACCAGACAACAACGTTACAGCGATTACTATTTTGAAGTGTTTTTGAAAACTTGATGTGCTGAAATGTATGAATATGCGTAGGCGTAGGCAGGAAGACGACTGATACCCTGTTTATAAGTTAAAGAAAACAGTAACTTGCATAAGGCTAAACTCTTGATACGAATTAATCAAATTAAGAAACGATTCCTTTTCTTGAAAAAGCTCCAAAATGCGTATTCGACGTAGAAGAAAAGATTCACTCATAGTTTTCAAAAGAAATATTTCTTGTCCGATCCATTGTATACAAAAACTTGTTAATAATCATCATTCATGTTCTCCTGGCGTAAGAGGTTAATGCATCCGGCTTTTAACCGGAAGATTGATGATTAAGTAAATGGTGTGTATTATTTATTGACATCGATCTGTATTTTGATGAATCATTTATTTGTTGATTATTAAAGTACCACGATGGTTTTATTTTTGTAGGTGTTGTTACACAAGCAAATTGTACCTAAAATTAATGAGGCACGAAATGATTCAATCAATTTCATACATGTTAAATCAGATTTTGTATTTATTGATAACCGTAACTATACAAAGCTTCATCATGAATTAACTGACAATCCTTAATAATCAACATATGATTATTTTCATGATGAATCATTTCGTATTTGTTACTTAAATAAATTTCTTGTTCATTTTTATACGTTTCAACGTCAGAGTTTTTCTCTTGAAATATAGCATGTTGTGTACAAGTGTCATTGAGATAAATATCTTGATCTTGTAACAGTTTTATTAAACAGGAACTTAATTTGATCATTCAAACTCGTCGGAACTATATATTCACTTATATATTTGTCCATCAGCAATAGTACAACGATATAAGCCTTTGCCATCTGGTGTTAAATCATGACTTATCAATTGAATAGTATGATGTTCAATGATTATTTCGTATTGTCCTGATGAATGGATAGCAACTGCATTTTTAAACCAGTGAATATTATTTGTCATTCGATTAAGAAAGAATTGAAGTGTTAATGAAGTGTTAAGATGTGATGAAAATTGCGAACATGTGATGACAATGGTAGAATAAAAGAAAAACCTTGACCATGTACTGTTATATTACAAGAAGTTTGAAGTTGATTACTGACCACATATGGATAACGACCACTATGATTAGTTTGAGCACTAGAAACCTAAATTTAAAAAAATACGTTGTTCTTGAAGTAGGCGGTCAGTTGTAATCTAAAAGTGGACGGAGGAGGATAGGTTTTTCATCTTGCTGTATGTTTCGACAGAATCTGTTTTTAATCGATGTTTTTCTGGAAAAAAAGGCGATTTTGTCAGTCAACTAGCAACAGAATAAAATAAAGCAACTTAGATATTTAAAAGAAGGAGCGATAATTCAAATAACATAACGTCAACTGTTCTGATTAACTGATTGAGATAAGTACACCTGTAATATGAATGATACCAATACACTAACAATAAGTATGAAGAAAAATATTTATTCATCTTCTCCTCGAAATATCTCACCTCATTATTCTCGTTTCTATCTTAGGTTTAAAAAGTTATTTGAGATTGTAAACAAATAATTTCAATTTTTTCATCTGTTCTAACTTTAAGCGACAAATCAAGACGTCACAGGAAAATCGAGTGACAAAAATATGTAAAGAAATACATACTACTAAGAATATTTTTCAATAAGATAACTTACTTTGAGTACATGTGTACATCCATCAGATATAGTTTCCATTATTTGATCATTTGGATAAATTTGATGATTATCTTTAAACCATTGAGTGTGATAAACATATCAATTAGTTTGACACTGAAGTATAAATGGTGAAACAATTTGAATATCATCAGGAATATAGCTATCTAATGATTTTATAATCTTAATGCGATATGTTCATCATCTAATGTTAAACTAGCTGTTGTCGTCAAATTATTTAAATAACATGTTATTTCTCCAATGTCAGGTTCATTTATATTGTTTATTATTAATTGAACTTCATTAGCAATTGAGTTAATTTGATAACGATCATTAAGTGCTTAAGGATATCCATTTAAATGCCATTGTATCGTTTGAGAAATTTTTGAACGTATACACGTAAAGAAGACAGTATCATCTGAGTTTACACAATGATTCAGAGGTGGTTTTAATGTAAATAAAAATTTCCACGTAGAATTAGCATGTGTAGTCCGACAAGGATTGTCAATCATCGGTCACGTTTTACTTGTTGTGACATAAGATCTACTGGAGCAAGAAAATTCTTCACGCTTTGAAGCATGTTGTAAATCATGACGCAATAGTAGTGATAAACTAAACAAATATAAGAATAATTAGAAACTGCGCATCAAAAACTAAAACTGTTCTAAACCAAGAAATAAATCGTTGGTATCTCTTACTGTATATTTCACCTAAATAAAACTATTATTTCATAACTATATCTATCATTTAACGTATGGTTGAATGTTTTTTTAGCAAAAGCAGATGAACAAAAAAAGTAAAAACGATAAGTGCAACTCATACTGGTCCATCCGTTTATTTAAATAATTAACCAATGTTTTACTTTTTTTTCAAGTCACCTTAATTCCATGAACTGAATGCAAGAAAAAAAGATGATAATTAGAGGTAATTTGTTTCGCTTGCAAATTTTTGCCTAGTATATATCAGCATGGCTATGACTCATAGTTCTATGCATATTTGCCTTTTTGCTGAACTCTAATTAGAAATATCTTTTATAGATTAAAAACCAGAAAATTCGTAGAATCAAAAGAAACTTTATAACATAATCATCATTTGTAATTGTGATGTATTGCCAAACATCATGGGAATTATCCCACTCTATTTTCTTATTCTATTGGATTCTTCCTATGATATACATGTATCCTTTAACTCACTAGGTCATTTTCTTTCGTTCTTTAGTGTATTCCAACGTCACTATATATGGCTATATATAGCCCGTTCTATCTATTCTGTGTGTGTTGTTTTCTTTCGATTCTTTCTGTTCGCTTCGTTCTAGTTGTAATACTAGTCACTGTTCGTTAATTTTCTACTTTCTCTTCTCGGAATAAACAAGATCTCAACGTTTCAAATCTTGTATTTTCATATTCATTCATTTGAACCATAAGACGTGACAGTAATGAGAAAAAACAGTGGAATATGCATTGTTTTTTGTTCATGCTCTATGAATCCATCTGTAAAAAAATATTTTCCCCAAGCCATAAGTCAACGTGATTTGTCATAAGGAGTTTGTAGGTTGTAAAGTGATGTCTGAAATAATTGCATAACTGTGCCTTTGTATTCTAATTTCGTATCATTACTTCATGTAAAGCAATCTTTAAGTCATCTTAACTTTGATTTTTTTCCTGTTTGAAACATCAACAACGGGTAATATATACATAGTCATAAAATCACAATTATTCGTGTTGTTGTGAACAGTCATATTACATATATCTGAATATCGTTATTCTTTGTGATAAGAAAGGTAGTATCCGATAAGAATTGTAGTGAACATCTGGAGACCGATGAGTTCAAGAAAACATTCAAGAAAATACTTATTGCTTGTAAAAATGATTCTCTGCATGAACTAGAAACAGTTTTAAATTCAATTAAGTCCAATAAACTCGATCGTTATCTGAAAGAATGTTGACTGGAAAAATATGATCATCATATATGAATTGGTCAGGAGAGAGGAAATTGTGCGCACATGAGTATAACACATTTAATTCTTATATTAATAAACAGACTACCCTTTGGCTTACTGTTCAATCTAAACATCTAAATGTTGTCCGTACACTTGTATCCTTGGATAAGGTAAATATTAATCATCGTGCAGACGTTCCTGGCTATCATCCAAAGTCTATTTCATTGTACTTGGCATGCGGAAATGGACGATTGAAGATGTTGAAATATCTCGTAGAGACCGATGCTAATTCGTACAATGTACATGCAGACGAATCAGCAGTTCTGATGACTTTGTAGAATATTTGTTAAGCTGAGACGATGCCGAACATATTGTTTTAAATACAGTCACTAAACGTAAAAGTTGTTCAGAACAACGATGGGCAAACTCCAGTGTCAATGACTAGTATATTAAATCAGATAGATGTTGTGAAGTATTTTATTGAAAATGAGAACGAATGTTGGTATACAACTACACAACGTATCGATAAACTTGAGTTAAGAGGATCTTTGATCACAAGTTCTTGTATTAAACAAGATGATACAGATCCTAAATTAGAACACACGTATCAACAATTTCTATGGGCCATGAAAATGAGGTACAAAAATCCAGATGTACCAATCTATAAAAGCAATGTGGCAACTCCAATTGAAGCGTATTAGTATTATGTTGAGTGTCAAACTATTGAAGCACTAGAGGGTATGAGTGTGGATGAAGAATAGATCGCCACATCCCACATTCATATCGACACTCGCATTGATTCTTTGAAAACCGAAATCGAGTTGAAAGTTTAAAAAAATCAGAGCCCATTTCGCAAAGAAGTTTTCTGGCTGATTTAATTTATTCAAATAGACATGTTAAAGATAAAGTTTTTCATTAGAAAATATTTATTTCTGTTGATGTTCGAATATGGCCATGACTGCTTGATGATCAGTGGTCTGTTTAGTATCAACAAGAGAACAATCTTTTAATACCCATTCATCATTGATCAAGGGACGCCAGAAGATGTAATCAATTCGTGTACCATAAGGACACGTCGCCACTTGTTCATCTTTCAGTTCTGGATTAGCTTGTCGAAAAGCATCTTGAAAAGCGAAACTCGTCGTTATGAGACGAGTGAGATCGAACCGCGGTAATTCCCATCGAGCTTGTTTTCGTTTACTGAAAACAATCTGTTGATAATAATTGTCTGAGTAATCTTCATGTGTCACTGCATTCATATCGCCCATTAAAATATTGATATTTTTTCGATGCGGAGCAAAAGAAGTCATTTGAACTATTCGATCATCTTCATTGATATGATCTAAATGAGTTACGGCAAATCTTCGATTTTGAACAAAAGGATGATTACCACCGAGACTGATATGTAACATCGCTCTGGTACCACCATGACATCGATGATTCGAAATGGTATTCTTGCTGTATGCGATCGGATGACGTGAGAAAATGGCATTGCCATGGGTAGACGTGTAGCTTGCTCCAAAAACCGAATGAGGTAAGGAGAGATGATCCTGAAATATTCTCGAATCGGTATCGTTTGTTGCTTCTTCTAAAGCAATCAGATCGAGTTCGAGTGGCGCAAGTATTGAGGCCAAAGGTTGTGCATTACTTAAACCTGTCCACGGATTGATGAATCCGTGAACATTGATCGTAGCAATACGAAATATTGCCATTGTTGAATGTTGGGCCATGAAAAATAGTTCTATACAGAAAGAAAAATGAATAACGATACTCGAAAGTTCTTTCACATACGTCTTTTTCCTTTGTTTTTATTGTGCCGTTCTATCCTATTGAAATGTTATGATAAGAAGAATATTTGTTGATAGAAAGTTATTTTTCTTTACGAATTGAATCCTTGTTCAAGGATATCTTCCCTCGCTCGGACCCAAAAACTCAACTTTTACAATGTCGGTTTTTCATCACTAGTATATCTGAAAATCTCTAGCAGAAAAACATGTACTGTAATTTTTTGGTTGTACATCAAAGACTCCCTCATAACAGCGGTGATTTTGCGTTCTAAAGTTGCGTCAAGGATCAACCATGATTCCCTAACGTGGCTCAGCGCCATTAATTTTGATTGATTCTGTTGCTGAAATAAAAATTCTGCGATGTACAAAATATTATATTTCACAGCGTTGCGCGTTTTTCTTGAGGCCGAAACTTCGATAAAACAGTGTAGGATCGCCTCCGTTTCTTCGATACACTACGTCCGATCGAGCTGAACCTTTTCCACGGATACTAGAAACTGTTTGGGCGAGGATTTTTCCGTCGCAAAAATTTCTTGTTCTGGTGATTTTCTGCAGATTTTACAAAATTTGCCCTAGTCGAAAAAAAACAAACGCTGTCCATCGTGTACCTCGTATTTTGTTTTTTTTTATTTGAAGGAAAGAAAATAAAAAGAAAACTTCCTCCAAAGCAGTGTCCAGTATCTGTAAAAAAAATTTCAGCTCCATCGGACGTAGTAAGTCGGAGACACGGGAACGAAAGTGGGGTCATTTTTAGCCGTTATTGTCTCAAAATCGCCTAGAAGAAAGCATTATAGAAACTTGATCTCAGTGAAACTTTTCCTCTGCCCGCTGTTCTCGAAAAATCACAGAAAGATGGAGCTCGTAAGGATATTCATGTCACTAATCGGTGTGGTCTACTGAGATTTTTTTGTAACACATTTGTAAACTTATGTGATCAATAACTGCCCTAACGGTTTAACAAGTTGCGTCTTCATATTGTTGCTCGAAGTAGAGCTGGGTGAAACGAAGAAATCCCCAACAAAGTTAGTACCCATGGCCTAATAATCAAAACTCATAAATAGTATATTTTCTCTTCGACCTATTGACAAGTATCGTCGAAAAAAAAACAACTACACCTTTTTGATCTGGAGCTCTGCCTTAATTAAAGCTCTCGTCTTATTAGAATGCATTGAAATTTTCAGAGAGGAAGGGTTTCTTATTCTCGGGATAACGCACTGCTATAAGTAGCCACTTGCAGCAGCAGAGTCACAAAAATCGAAATAAATAGTAAATTGAATATTTCGAGAAGGATATTTTCTCGTTCTTTGAATATTACACTGAATTATAATAATTATGGAATCAATATTGAAGCCGAATTTCAAGTGAAAGCTATGGAATTCTTTTTTCTTTTTGAAAACACACACTCATCAGGCAAGAAGATTGTAAAACGACATATTCTCTTCAAGATCTACTTTTAGCACTGTCATCGAGCTATTAATAGCCAGATTCGTCTAAAGCCAACCGACATATGAGATATAGAAAGTAAGTAAGGTGAGCAAAATCATATGAAAAAATATTCGATTTGTAAGTTTCAATATGTTTGATAATCGATGAACTTCCTGACAATCGCTCTACTAAGCATCTGGTCGAACTCAACTGAACTATACATTTGGTTAGTCTCTGGATGAAATTTATTCGCCCTGAAAGACCTTGAGAGCAAAAAAAAGACAATTTCCACGCACTTAATCATATTCGAGAAAACAAACACAAACACAGTATGTCATGTTTAATGAATCACTGTCACCTTCTTTTCGAAACACACACACAATCCAGTCGATGCTTGATTCAATAGATGTCTCTCGCTCACATGGCCTATCATCAGAGACGAAGATTTTTACTCAGAAACAATCGATTATCTCCAATTGAATTCTCATTCTTGGAGATTCTACTTGTCTATTGGATCAGTGTGATGCTTACTCAATGCGTATACTACTTGGTAAAAGTGTCCAAAATGTGACGCTCAGCACATATGCTTTTATATATACATAAGACATGGGCGCGAACCGCCACAAATTATCGATAATCAAATAATTATTCACAAAACATACTGTATTCTAGGTGACACTGTTAATGGCATCCAAGAAGAGTATTTTATTCATGTTCACTATTCAATTCTCTCTTGAAAATTTCAAGAAACAACATGAAAGGAATAAAAGTCACTATACCAAAATAATCATCAGTTTCCTTATATGGATTTATTTGAATGATACTCTAACAGCATGTGGCAGTTGATGACTTTTTTAATGCTATGTTGTTTCGTGCAAGCTCCTAGAAAGTACAATTTTTTTTTGTTGAAGTAAAGAACTTCAGAACAGTTTTGCTCAACCTTTTTGGATGAACATGAACTATCAATACTTCTCTATCAGTGGTAACAATCCAACCCTATAGGCCAAGGTATAGCTGCAATACTTAATTTTTTTCTTTGTTAAAATAACTTCGGACTACGATGTAGTTCTGTGATGAAGATCTTTGCATCGTTTTAGGGTGTGGGTGTTGGTGCAGAGTGTGTGGGTTCTCTATTTAGCGGCATCCACATGCACCAATACCCACACCCTTCAAAATCTTTTAATAACGTGCTTAATGTGGAAGCGAGTGCAGGTGTGATCCTCGATGTTCATATGCATGTGAAGTTATATTAAGCACATTGAGACTGAAAGTGATATTTCTCGAATCATGTGAAGTTTTCACTTTTACAGGTGATATATGAATAGTAAAGATAACAGCAAAGCCACGTGTAGAAGTGGCACAAGGAACCAACTAGTTTGGTAGAGTCTGTCATACTAGCTTACATATCGAATCGTCTGTATATTATAGAACTACTAGGCATGACTCTTTTTTTAATTTTTTTGTTTCTTCTTTTCAGGAATGTATCGCTTTGATTCTACTCTAAATTATCAAATAGAGTACAGGAGTCTATATACAATACTATTTTTCTAGATTTCTGCAGTCTGATCATGATTTGTGATTTATTTATGTTCTATTCATTGTACAACAGTTGAAAGAAACCTGAATCAATCAAGAGGAGAATATCAAACTCCAATCTCATACATTCTATTTTATTTCTTGGAAAGCTTATCACAAATAACTATAATTGCATCAGAAAAATCATGTGTGAAATAGTATGTGATTGATCTGAATATTCGAAGAGAAAGGATTTTCGGAAAAACTTAATTTTATCTCGAAAAATATATTATTTCTTTCTATTCTATTCACATCAAATTCAGCCGATTCTCGAACTATTAATCGAATAAAATAACACAGTTATAAAGTACAGACACAAAAAACAAAAGTCGAAAAAAGACAAACCATACTTCAATATACAATTGAAACGATTTTCAGTGACATGTATTGGAATCATCTTTTCTAGTTAATTTGTGACTATTCATGACTTTGATGGAATGCTATGCTTCTCAGTGGTCTTTTGATCGTTCTAGTTCGATGGTTTAGAAGAAGAAAAATGTAAACAGTCTTACGTCACTCTCAAGTTTCACCAAAAGAAGAATGGAAGTTTTTAGGCATGATGATTTTTTTCTAGACAAAATGGAATTAGTGTAGTTTTTATCGAAGTCTTTATTTTACAATACAAAGCACACAACCTACTAAATCAATTGAAACCTATGAAGCTTTATATTTTTATTATTTTGTGTAAAAGCGGCTAGGCAGAGGTTTCATATATAAAATAATCGCGGTAGAAGAAATCACTAATTACATTTCATGTTAGCTGTTCAATGTGATAAATCAACTTGATACAGTGAATATAGTGTCTACTTCATTAATTGCAAGAGTAATTTCGCTACAAATATATAAGAGATAATATTCTGTGTTGAACTGGTTGCTATCGAAACTTGTGCAGTTGTTCGACTATCATAATGTACAATCGCTTCTAAAGTTGGTTGAATATTAAAATAATCAGATTTGTTTAGTCGTATATCAAATTGGCTGCTTTACAAATTCTCTTGGGTAATCATTACTGATTGAGTTGATATATATTTTGTAAACATTCAAATTCAAAAAGGCACTTGTTGGTAAGTAGTCAATAGAACAATCATTAGCACCAACGAGATTGTAATATGTGGTAATATCATTCCAACTAAATGCACTACCACTAGCATAACTTGAACTTTCAAATAAATCATTATCATCATATCCACCACCAATATCGAAAATCTTTTTAAAATTGGAACCAAATTTTAATTTTGATAGGAATAAACTACAAGCACTGCCACATGTACCATCTGTTAGAGCATAAATTGATTGAAAATATTTAGTGTTAGTTACATTTTTAATCCAAAATTTTCCTCCACCAAATGCTTGTCCATCACAGTTTATCGACCATTTCATGGAATATTCATCTGTCGAATTTCCTCTTGTATAATTCATGTATGGTTCTATCCATTGCATGTTTGTAAATGAAAAACCAGTTCGTAAAACTAATATTGAATTTGGATAGAAACTAAATGCCATGGAAAATGTCTTTACTGGTTCAGTTATTCTAGCGTCTATTAGTTCATACAAGACACTAAGATTAGAATATTCGGGAACTAAATAATTTAGTAAACTATATGCTAGACAACTATGACCACCATGATTTCCAATTAAATCAATAATTAATGTTTTTTCACGTCTTCCAAATTTTCGTCACCAAAAGAACCAAGCTTGATAACAACAGTTTTTGTTCGCTTATGAGTATAATAATACGTATTGTTACCTTCTATAACAAAATCAAAGGTATCATTCTTTTTCTCTTGATACCAATTTAATTTTTTCCGATCTAGTCACATACTTATAAACAGTACTTTTGTCAAATGATGATGGTCCTGTAAAATGATTATCATTTTCCAGGCTAGTTTGATTGTCGAATTTTTTTGTAACAATTACTACATAAGGAAAAGACAATGTGGATTCAACATTGTCAAAAATGGTAAATGTTATATTGTTGATGATTGGTAATGGATAATCTGCAAGATTTCGCAACCAAAATTTTTCTTTAAAAACAGAATTCAATTTGGCACTCTTATCTTTACTCATAAGTGAATATTGTTCAGCAAATAGCTTCATATATTCTAACGCATTGACACCATTAATCTTTGTGACGATTTTATCATTATAATTCATATGGATATCGTTTTGAACTATCGAAGAATATAATTTAATACCTGTTTTAATTTTAATCTGTTTTCTTAATGGTAGAAATTCCAGAATAAATGTTAGTAATAATTAAAATTTTGCATATCCATTTGGTGCATTGTATTGTGTATGAAAATCATTGAGCTTTTTAAAAGAATTTACAATAGACATGTGAAAATCATAATCATTTGTATACATATTTGTATTTGATTGATTCATAATGTTTAATAATTCCTCTTGAAATCGTACATTTGTATAATAAGGATAATTACTTTGACGAACTAAACTCAAGAAACTGTAAAAATCTAATGAGTTAAATAATTGTTTCATTGTTTCATGAATTGTAATGTTGTTCATTGGTATACTTTGAAAACAAAGTTTTACTTTGTCGACTGTTGTATAGACCCATATCGATGGAAGTTCTTGATGGCTTGAATTAAACTTACATAAATCAATATTATTTTCGCTTCGAATAACATGAACGAAGGAGATTAATATGAAGAATAATTTTATCTTCATCATTGAATAATTCTGTTTTCTCTTTGCTTCTGAATATCATGCTTGATTTTAGATCATATTTATATATTAGACTATGTGAATAGAGTAAGAAAAAAAAATGCTATTTACTTTTAGAATGTATGTATGTATGGATCAGTTTTCTTTTACAATCGTTACGTTGACCTTTTATTGTTATTAGAAGAAAGAATATCGAATTTCATTTACGTTGTTTTTCTCATTCTGATCGAGGCACCCACAAGGAACCGTAACAATGTCATTCAAGTAGCATACCGATCATGTAGAAAATCATCAGATCAGTGAATTTCATTTACGTCACAGTCAAATAAATTATTTCTAGGAATTTATTCGATTGACGTCAAAACTTATTCTCATATAAAAAGCAAATAAAACCGTATAAAACCTAATGACGCGTGAGGCTCTGTAAAAGAATTGTATTAACGTCACGAAAAAAAAAATGTGTAGGCCACTCTATCAATTAACCTACTCAAACATACTTTCTTTTGTGTTTAGTTGGAATTCAGCGTGACGAAGTGCTTGATCATAAGGGGCAAACTGCAAGTAATGATTTTAGGCAAATAATTTTTTTTTCTCAATAATCTTTTCATGTAAAAAAATGCGCAAGCAGTAATATAATCAGTTGATATAAGCGTTACGGATGGCTAGGCCAATGTGAGGTGTTGGTATGAGTGTTGGTATACGTATGATGCGAGATACGACTGTTTGCCTCTTCCTATCGACGGCTACACCCATCTAGCATCATCTGATGTCGATATTGACTGACTTTGTTACTTTGTGAAATCTTTTTTCATTTTTCTCAACAGATACATGAAGAAAAATTTACTGGAGGATGTGAGTATGTGGGTGTACAGGTAGGCGTAAAGAAAAAACTGCCAGTCTCACCCACATCACTCCCATGCCCAATACTTTGAATTATTATAAATTTTAGTTAGAATTAATGATATATTTCAAAAAATAAATTATTCAACACATAAGCGTTGATTCATGCTAAGAAGATTTTCTGAGTATTCGAATATTAGATAGATTTTCTCTAGAATTTTAAGTCTAGAGTTCAAATAAAAGAAAGTGTGATTTTATCAGTTTTACTAGAAATATCATTTGCAATGGTTTTTAAATTTCAAATGACGTTTTCTTTTGATAAATATCCGCTATGTGATGTTCAACAATGAGTTATCTCTCTTGATTTGTTCTTTATATGACATTGATTCGTACGAAAAGAAAATAAGCAATGTGCTAACATAGACCAGATTAGAAGCTTTGTTTTTGTTTGAGACGAAAATTATACAGACTAAAATTGATGGTATCTGATGGAGAGGCCTTGCAAATTGGTTCTTAGTTGTTATAAATGAATCTTAGCTCATATGGTGAGCGTTATTGCTACGAGAGAAAATTTTGAAGGACTCATGCCTATAAATGTTTCTTCTTCATCTATGTGAATCTTACAATGGAATGTTTGGTATTGTTTGTCAAAAAGATTGACCATGTTCGGATCAAATGATCACTTTTACAGAGAAACTAACAAATTAAACTATGAGCTGCCCATGACATGCCTTGACAGATATATTCAATGTGTAAGGTATGCACATTTTCGTATAGAAGCACGATACTATGCGGATTATTCATATCAATGTTTTAATATAATCATCAATTTTTTTCAGTGAGTGAATTTTCAAAACTTTGCTGAAACCTATTGACAACAGTATGGCTGCTTTAGATTCGACTTTTTCTGAAGTTTAATAGTACTAAGTGGGAAATATCAACTATTAAATATAGAAATCTGTCATTCATTCATATTTTAGACTTTCTTTTGCTTAAAAGTACGAATATAAGATAGAGACTGTTCATGTATTATTTTTTACTTTTCTCCATTATTGGACCTCTCGGATGCGAGTATGAAGTTTCTATGTGGAGTGTGGATATGTCACACCCATATGTGTCAGTAAGATCGTGAGTGTGTAGAAGAGTTGCAAGCAATCAAGAGATACTAGAACACTCTGACCTGACTAGTCTAAAAATATTTTCAGACCCATATAATCACTAGTGACTCTAGTGAGTTTTTTCAAATGATAAAACTGATATTAGGGGCGAAGTTTTGTTCTGAATGTCTATAGATTTTTACGTTTGTCTTGTTTGCGATACTTAAGATGCAAGATTGGTTGAATATCATATCTACACCCACACTCACAATTCAAGAAGCTCATTTTTCAACGATGAATGCTGATAGCAGCAATATGAAAGAGAGGAAAAGCAGAAGCAAGGAAGGAGGTATGATGCAAGAAAATTTTTTGAACGACTAAAAGATGAATATAAGATTTTTAAAAGTTCGAGAATGTAAATTTTTCTCTTTTTCATTTTACAAGCGTTTTCCTGATAAAAATGTACTTTCATCTAGAAAAAAAATGACACTCAACGAATGCGAAGGAAAAAGCGGAACTTGAAGCATGTATTGGATGAAAGATAATATATTAATTTCAATGAACTATGATTGATTCCCTTACTTTAGTACAAATTCCATTCTGAACAATAGCATTATAATAACTCTTGCAATATTCTGATTTTCAAACATTGGTCGATACAAACCCTGTAACATTTATTGTGTAACATCGACAGTTAAAACAAAACGAAGAAAAATGTTTCTCTTTTATACTGCTCAACGAAAATCAAGCCAACGTACAGATTCTTGTCTTTTGTAGTAAATGTCATTCTAGAAGAAAATAGTCGATGATTCATATTCGGTTTTCAAATAAATATATCCATAGAATTTGAATATCTGATATTAACCAAGTCATTTGATGTTGTGCATTCTCCTTTCTCATAGTTTTAGGTAAAAACAAACAAAGAATCTTTTGAAACTGATTTACAATTTTAGTGATGTACACTAATTTAAATATTGATAATATCATTATTGATAATTATTGTAGCCTTTGAAAGTATTGATCAAGTTTTCTTATTATATATCGTCTTCTGTAGAAGTAAACATATATTATTTCGTCTAAAATATAGCAGAAATAGAAATGTTTTCTTTTGCTTTTGCTTTTGCTTTTGCAAGAAAAGAGAAAGATCTTCTATTTATTAAATGAATATAAATACTAAAACAAGGTAGGCATATGCATAAAATCTTAAACTTCAGACTATTGAAAATCTTATGCTACTAACATTCACAATGAAAAGATTTCTTCATAACCAAAATAAATAGAATTTTTAATATTTGTCTACTTATTTTTGATATTATTATGATTAAGCTTCATATTTATACTGCAGATACAATTTTTTATTGCTCTGTTTATTCTAGTATGTTCAACTAGAAAGAAAAGTAAAGATTTGTTCACAGAACTATACACTTGTCTCTTGTACTGATGTGTCATAGAAACGGAAATTTGTTTTTTTTTGTGAGCAGGTCATTATTATTATCAGTTCTGTTTTAATACTTGAATAATAGTTTATTACATTTTAAACAACAAATTGTAGCATAAGAAATATATAAATGAACATATGATTGATTAATAGCTTTCGTGAAACACAATCTAAAAGGAGACTTGAAGTATAGATGCTAGGAATTTGGATTGAGTCATCCCCTATGACAGGCTGTGACAGATATTATTTGATTTACGATAAAAGATCGGATTTCTGGAGAGCTAATTGAACAGGTGCTGAAGAAAAGTGTCCCTCAACCAATAGAATACAAAAAGATTCCTGTGATTAACAAAAGCAGCTACTACCGTTTTTAACATTTTAATTTCGAAAGAGTTGTGCTAACAACTTTTTTATGCTAATAGTAATTTGATATTAATTGTTCTTTT